ATTTTTTCTCTTAGACTATAATGATCTCAAATTTTGAATTCTTTTTTTTAAAGAATTATTAAAAATTTTATAAATGATAGAAGAAAACCTAAAATACTAAAATATGAAATAATTTTTTATTTAAAGCAAACACTTCTCTTAAACTATTAACTTCATCCATACCATTTAGTTCAATTATGAAGAATTATACGATATGGATTCTAATTGTTATAAAAAAAAAATGTAATTAATTACATTTTATCATGTTGAATTCAAGTCATCTTAATCCTTTATTCAATTATGTTATATCAAGTTGGAAATTTAAGGCGGTTTTATCACATTTTATATTTATTTTTTTTGAAATCTAACTTAGTGAAAGAATCAATCTTAATTATGTAATAAACTATTTAAGTACTACGTAAAATCAAAATTAGTTCTAGTACTTCATCTCCTTATATTTGCATCTCTAAATTTGAAATTATTAAAAATAATTATATAAATAAATAATAATATGATTTCAAAAAATTTTTAACAAACAACAGAATAAATCTTGTTATTCTGATTTAAAGAAAATGACAAGAAAAAATTTGAAGTATACTGCTGATTTGAGAAATATTTAAATTGATTTAATAAATGAAGATTAGAAAACAATAGAAAATCAAAGTGTTTTGACTAAATAATTATTTAATTTATATCAATTAGATTATCAATTAACTTTTATAAATAATTTAAGCTAGTTTTATTAATCCAAATGATTTTATTGTTAATGCTAAAAAGGCTCGAAATAATTAATACTTTGAAAAGAGATATAGATTATAATACATTTAAACTAATTGGAAGAAGTATTATTGTTTAATTATGTATTCAGGCTTTAATGATATTATATACACTAATTTTATTTAAAAAATATTTACAATAAAACATTAAGATAAATTTATTATATTAAAATTTAAATTAAGTCAATCAAGAAGGAATTGAAAGGTTGAAATAAACTAATTTTCCAATAAATAAATTACATTATTGAATTAAAGATTTCATCACTTCTCAAAAACTAAAGAATTTCTTTCTTCCTTTTTTCCTAACTCATATTAGTTATCTACGAATTCTTTTTAATGTATTGGATCTATCAATACCTGTATGACAAGAAGTTTGATTCTTAAATGCATGAATATTTTAAACTGATCATTACCTGAATCAATTCTCTCACTTGTACAGCACTTTCTTTACATTAAAGTTGTTTCTAATTAAGCATATTTAGATTTGTTTAATTTTTGGAAGTTGAAAAGTATATTAAAAACATCTTGAGCTATTTTTAAATATCCATTATTAAAAATAGAGAAAATAGATCCAAATATAATAATTTATGATATATCAAGAATATAATAAATTGATTTAACTAAGTAAGAACAAGCAATTTGTTAAATATGCATTCTTAAAAAAATGTTTGATAACAATGTTTATAAGTATAGTTAAAAACTAGTTCCTTAACAAATATACTTATTAAAATTTACCACTTAATGCTCTTATTATAATCTAATTAAATTCCTAATTTAAATAAGGCTTCAAAATATGTCTATTTGAAGTATAACCATAAATGAACAATTAAAAATATTTATTATTAATATAAAAGAAACATTATTTATACCATAATATTTGAACATAGAATCTTTTCATATCCCTTGTACGTTGGGTTTAAGACGATACATCATCATCATTTTTATTCTCATAAAAACATAATTATAACTATGCTTTGAACTAAGATAGTAAATGCTATGCTATCTATTGTAATAGTGGATATGGGCCTACGTTTGGAGGTGGTAACGATTAAATATTCATGATGATTTTAAGGAAGGTTGTTCTGATTTATTTGGATAGTACATACCAAATGTTAGTGAATGCGAAATATTTGAATTAAAATTTATTTGATATTTTAAGTTTAGAAATATATTTCATATATTTTTGGCACTATTCTTCTCTTATCAACATTAGAAATTTATTGTTAAACAATACTTTATGGATCATGACTACAGCAATAAGAATCTTTTTTTTCTAAGTCGCTTTAATTTAACAATTTAGTTCATTTCTTAAATATAAGTAAAAAAGTCAATAATAAACTAGATAAATTTAAAAGCAAATGATCATTATAGTTTTATAAGAGAGAATCTTGAATTGTCAAAAGGTATTACTTAAATGTAAGGTAGTATATAATGTTGATGAACAAAGAGGAAAGAAGCCTATTAATGTTTTAGCAGTTAATGGAAAATGAAATGTAAAGACTGTTGATATCATTATCTTATATGGTTTAATGATAGTTAGAATGGTTTGGGAAGCAATGTAAATGTCAATCTGGATTAAATTTTGAAAATCTTTTTTGATAGAACTGTCATTAAAATTAAAAGAATTGCGTATGATGGCTGACAAAAAAATTTTCTATGCTATATCTTGAAAAAAATAGTTTTATCTCATCTAAGTCATTTTATTCTTTAATTTCTATTCAGTCATCATCAAATCATATAATATCTCTTATTGCATTCAGAACAAGCAAAGTTTTGAAAAACGATTAGGTCAGAGGAAAAAATGGTNTATATTAAAAACATCTTGAGCTATTTTTAAATATCCATTATTAAAAATAGAGAAAATAGATCCAAATATAATAATTTATGATATATCAAGAATATAATAAATTGATTTAACTAAGTAAGAACAAGCAATTTGTTAAATATGCATTCTTAAAAAAATGTTTGATAACAATGTTTATAAGTATAGTTAAAAACTAGTTCCTTAACAAATATACTTATTAAAATTTACCACTTAATGCTCTTATTATAATCTAATTAAATTCCTAATTTAAATAAGGCTTCAAAATATGTCTATTTGAAGTATAACCATAAATGAACAATTAAAAATATTTATTATTAATATAAAAGAAACATTATTTATACCATAATATTTGAACATAGAATCTTTTCATATCCCTTGTACGTTGGGTTTAAGACGATACATCATCATCATTTTTATTCTCATAAAAACATAATTATAACTATGCTTTGAACTAAGATAGTAAATGCTATGCTATCTATTGTAATAGTGGATATGGGCCTACGTTTGGAGGTGGTAACGATTAAATATTCATGATGATTTTAAGGAAGGTTGTTCTGATTTATTTGGATAGTACATACCAAATGTTAGTGAATGCGAAATATTTGAATTAAAATTTATTTGATATTTTAAGTTTAGAAATATATTTCATATATTTTTGGCACTATTCTTCTCTTATCAACATTAGAAATTTATTGTTAAACAATACTTTATGGATCATGACTACAGCAATAAGAATCTTTTTTTTCTAAGTCGCTTTAATTTAACAATTTAGTTCATTTCTTAAATATAAGTAAAAAAGTCAATAATAAACTAGATAAATTTAAAAGCAAATGATCATTATAGTTTTATAAGAGAGAATCTTGAATTGTCAAAAGGTATTACTTAAATGTAAGGTAGTATATAATGTTGATGAACAAAGAGGAAAGAAGCCTATTAATGTTTTAGCAGTTAATGGAAAATGAAATGTAAAGACTGTTGATATCATTATCTTATATGGTTTAATGATAGTTAGAATGGTTTGGGAAGCAATGTAAATGTCAATCTGGATTAAATTTTGAAAATCTTTTTTGATAGAACTGTCATTAAAATTAAAAGAATTGCGTATGATGGCTGACAAAAAAATTTTCTATGCTATATCTTGAAAAAAATAGTTTTATCTCATCTAAGTCATTTTATTCTTTAATTTCTATTCAGTCATCATCAAATCATATAATATCTCTTATTGCATTCAGAACAAGCAAAGTTTTGAAAAACGATTAGGTCAGAGGAAAAAATGGTAAGAGAGATAGAAATAGTTTTAAAGAAAACTCTAAGAAATTTTAGTTTCAAATGTTAGAGCTTTTTTTTTTTAAATGCTATACTAATTTAAAAAAATTAATTTTTTCTAGAGACAATAAATTTTATTCTATGAATTGAAGAAATGATTGTGTTATTTATTTTCATTAATTTTCCTTTTTTGGCTATTTCATAATCGTATTGGATCTGTAAATCTACATCAATTTATTATTAGATTGTGTTTTAAGATTATATCATTTGGTAAATCAGCTAAGAGGAAATAATTGAAGTGTTCTAATATTAAAATAGTGTTAATAAATTAAATTCATTTCTGTCTTATATTTACATTTTTTTAATTGAAACATTTGCTTACACAAATATTACATCACACATTACTTTACTGATACTCTTATGTCTAATCTTAAAGAAGTAAAATAAACAGGAACATTTAATTAGTAATGTAATCATTCTTTTACATCCCAATCCATCAAATAAGCTAGCATAGGAACTACATATCAATCTGATATAATATTTTTATTCAACTTATTTTTATTTTCAATCATTTATTCATAAGGTGAAAAATAGGCTAAACTAATAAATGTTAATAATAATAATCTTTATTATTTTTAATAGTTACAATTGAATCATGATATCTGGATTTTTTTGCTAAAGCTTTAGTACCAAAAAAACGATTTTCAATTCATTTTTACAAAATATAAATCTGAAAAGATTTTAAAATTATATCTAATGAATACTATTAAATTCGTTTTATAATTCTTTTCAAAGATAGTATCAAATCAGGATTATAAAAATTTTGTATTATGAACTCAACTTCAAATCTAGAAAAATTTCTAATTAAATTAATCAATAGAAATCTTCATAAAATAAAAATTTGAAATTATTTAAACTTTAAATTATTATAAATTTTTAAAAAGGAGTATTCAGGATTATTAAATTCATTATATTAAGACCCATAATTATAATTTCGTTAAATTATAGATAGTTAAAAGCTCTAATAAAACTCATTTAAAAGTTGTAATTTATGAAGGTGCATAATTCGATAGGGATGTATTGTTTAATAGGTCAATAAATCTTCAACTAGTCAAACATAAAATTGTTCATTTTTTAATAGAATCCATTTAGAAGCTTTACTTGATGAAATGTAAACAAGATGTAAAATTAATTGAAATGAAAGTATTATTGTATTAGTCAATGAATATCCTGCAACTAAATGTTAATAATATTAATATGGAGAAGTTTAATTAACTACTATAACATAAAAAATTACAATGATATATGTTTCCGATGTAATTCATTGCTCTTAAAACATATCCTGTTAGTTATTCTAAGTTTGAAATTATTATTAGAGTAGATCTAGTCTTTTCATCATTTAATTTTAGTGGTTAATTCACAGTTCTATCTTATAAAGTGATCAACACTAAATTGTTGGGTGCGTCATTAAATTTAATTGCTCTGCTAGTAAATCAAGATATACCCAACTTAATTGGAGATATTACAAAAGGATTTTGGATACATTTTCTTGGCTTTAATTTTGATGGTTCAGTTACTGAACTTCATAAAGAATTATTAAATATGAGATAATATGGTTATTTGAATGATGCTAAATTAAGGATAACACACATTTCTATTAACTTAAAATATTATCCTTAGTATAATATATGATTAAATAATTAAATATTTAAGATTTAATTAATTACACCATCTAATCTGCTTTGAATTAGAAATACAAAAACTGGGGTTTCGTACATTAAATAAACTTTGGAATTGGAATAAATCCTTTTTAATTATGAGATTTAAAATTAGCTAATAAGATGTCATTTATAGTCAATTATTTTTCTGTTCTTGTTATTGATGATACCGAAAGTGTATTGGCTCTCTATTATATTAAAGTTTAAAAACTAATGAAGTCAAAGCTATATCATTAGTCCTGATTACAATTAAATATAAGATTTTGCTAGAATCAAATACTACAACTATTATCAGTGTAATCAGTAACATTAGATCCATAATTTTTACAAGTTCTTTCGATACTTGCATTATTAGTATAATTAACTGTACAACCAATTAGAACAATTATTATGCTTAAAAATAGTTACATTTGAACCATGATTAGTACATGTTCTTGTAATTTTCCATGTAGTTTAACTAGGATTATCTGAACATCCAGCTACATATAAAAGTACCTAGGCAAGTGAATAATTAATCTGATATATTCTTATTACATTAATCATAATTTATTACATCAGTTCAATTATTTGGTTTATCTTAACAAATAGTTGGTCTATTTACTGTACATGAATTCATCCATGCATAACAAGAGGAGTGATCGAAATCTGTAATTCCTTGAGTTGTTGTACATGTCATATTTATACAATTAAATCCATTCCAATAGCATTATAAATTTGAAGATGTATATGCATAATTTGTTGAATAATAATAACAAGAACATGATGATTATAATGTAATTCAGCCAGTAAGCACTAATTTTAATTACAAAGTGAATATTATATAATACATTATTCACAACACAAGCAGATAACCAATTAGCACAATTTGTTAGAGTAAAACTAATAATACCTATTATCATAATTATGACAAAACACACTATTATTCACCTTCTTAATTTTAACAATCCCATCCACTCAAAATACATCCCCCTTAAGATGATAATGTGTAAACATTTTCTACATTAAAATGATATTATTCTACGGTTATAATTAAATGGATTTGGAATGAAGGAATCAGATGTTAATTTAAAATTTCTCACTAATTCTTACATTGATGAAGGGATTGCTCTTAAATATATAAGATAAGAAATTAATCTGTAGATTAAATTAAGTTCTAAATTAAAGAATTGGCCAAATTTACCAGAATTCATGTAGTGAAAATAATAGACTTAAATAGTGGAATAGAAATTGATATGTGCTTTAACAATATATTAGGTGTAATTAACACGAAATTTATTGAGCATGCATGCTAACTTAAAAAGAAAGTTTAATAAGAAGTTCTAAATATTAAATATTTGGGTGGAATCTTATTAAAGTTATGGGGCAAGAAGTAAGGTTGAATAAATAGAAATTATTTTTCTTCTTATTCTAAGCTTACAAAATTAATAAAAAACATAAACTATGAAAAGAAATATAGAAGGTAAAAGTGAGGGGAGCTTTGAATTTGATGTCTACACTTTGTAAAATATTTGAATTTACAAAAGGTTTATAAAGAAAAAATATACAATTGAAGGAACAATTAACTGAGTAATTTCTTAGGTTTCCCTTACTATATTATTAAGGGATTTTTAAATAATTATTTAGATTAAGGGGCAAGATTTGTACAGTAATAGAAAGATTTCAATCAATGAGAAAAAATTGAAAGATGAAGGAGAAAAATATTCAATAAGCGATCCTTTAATTAAGAGCATGACCCTATTAAGAAAATCAGAAATAATTTTAAATATTATAAGATATTTAATTAAGCAACAATCTAGGTGTTATTAGATAATGACTATTCAGGTCAAATTGCATTTATATTATGCAATGGAGAAATTATAACCTTTTAATTGATTTAATAGAAATAATGGCTGAAAACCCTTTTTTTTATGGTTAAGGAATGAATTGAATTCCATTATCTCTTAAGTTCATAGCTCAAAAAGATTAAAACATCTCTTGTTTTTATCTCATCTGCAATATCGCTAGGAATCAGACAAGTCATTCTAGCCATAGGATAGGATAATTGTAATTATATCTATATATATATTTAAGGATTACTTAAAAATTTTAATTACGAGATCAATTGTAAATTTAAATAAAGTTAGAAAATCTTATAGGATTATTACATCATTAACAAGTAAATAGATTTTAGATGCTTTTCATCTGAATTTTTAAGAGATCCAAAGGAAATTGTAGAAAGACAACCCAAAATTTTGAATGTTTTATTAACATCTAAATATAATTTAATATTAGTAACATACCTATTATTGAAGTAATGGGAGCATATGGAGAAGAGGCAGTTAAATAGAAAGATGATTCATCTACATAAATTATTATTGATAGTGATTTTGATTCTTCTTTTGTAATTTTTTTTGTTTTTTTAGCATTATAAATAACTTCATATGGAATTTTAGCTACATTTGTAGCAAATACTCCATTGATTAATTTATATTAATCACTCTATCCATTTCTTAATACTGTTTCATGATTATTGAATGATAATGAGCAGCAAATATTGTTTTAGGTTCAATCTTTTAAGATAAATAATTCAAAAGTGCAGATGCCAATGCTAATCCATCATTTGTTTAATTATTTCTTCTTAATTCATCTATAATCACTAAACTTCTAGAAGTGCAATGCACTAATATAGTCTTTGTTTCTTCAATTTACATGTTTTGAGATTATCTGGAATACTATTGAAGTAAGAAGGATTATTAAATTAATAGGCTGAAGTAGCATAAATTTAGTTATTTACAGTTGAAGATATCATAACATGAAATAGGGGATATAAGCTAGAATTATGTTTAGGAAATGAAAACTTAATATTATCAAATTATCTTTTTAGAGATGAAAAAGTAAATTAGAATTCTATTTTATAGGTTCTCTAATATTTTTTCGTCAAGCACATTCAATTTAATAATAACTATTTTCTTAGAAGATAACAAAATTGATAAAGTCACATTTTAAATGATACCCAGTGAAATTTTTTTTAAACAACTATAGATAGTGATTCCAACCGCAAAATTATAATAATAATAAAATTTAATTTCAAAAGTTTATATGTATTTTCACTCTAAATTGATTTGTTCCCAATTCCCAATCTTCATACCTTGCATATTATATTCACCATTATAAGTGACTTATTTATTTGAAGAATATAAACTTCCATTAAACCTTTCATCTAATTCTATCCACTTTCCAATCTTTTTCTAATTTCCATCTTAACCATATGATCCACCACCACTATATCCTTTACTGAAATAATATTTACATTTATTTATATTCATTTTAAAATTGTCTGCAATACATACTATCCCACATACCAATCTTCATACCTTGCATATTATATTCACCATTATAAGTGACTTATTTATATAAATTAAACCCTTCATCTAATTCTACCCATTTTCCAATCTTTTTCTAATTTCCATCTTAATCAAATAATCCACCACCACTATATTCCTTATACTTCATTAATATTTACATTTATTTATATTCCTTCTATCCCTCCTTACAATACAAACTATCCCACATACCAAACTTCATACCTTGCATATTATATTCACCATTATAAGTGGCTTATTTATACAAATTAAACCCTTCATCCAATTCTACCCACTTTCCAATCTTTTTCTAATTTCCATCTTAATCATATGATCCACCACCACTATATCCTTTACTGAAATAATATTTACATTTATTTATATTCATTTTAATATTGTCTGCAATACATACTATCCCACATACCAATCTTCATACCTTGCATATTATATTCACCATTATAAGTGATTTATTTACTTGAAGAATATAAACTTCCATTAAACCCTTCATCCAATTCTACCCACTTTCCAATCTTTTTCTAATTTCCATCTTAGTCATATGATCCACCACCACTATATTCCTAGAACTTAAATAATACTTACATTTATTTATATTCCTTCTCTCCATCCACACAATACATACTATCCCACATACCAATCTTCATGCCTTGCATATTATATTCACCATTATAAGTGACTTATTTATACAAATTAAAACCTTCATCCAATTCTACCCACTTTTCAATCTTTTATCCTTTAGTGTAACTACCCCCACCACTAATTTTTTTATTACAAAATACATCACATTATTCTAGTTGATCTATTTCCACATACCTTATTTATTTCCCCTTTAATATTCTCCTTCTGCAAATACAAGAACCAAACTAATGCTTTTAGTAGTTAACATTTACCTACAGTAATTTTAAAATAATTCTTTCCATAAACCTATCTTTTCACCAATTTCTGAGTAATATCCTTCAACAGTTTAAAGAATTTATCCATTCCATTGAACTCTCCATTTACCAATTTTCTGTCTATTTTTATTGTACTTTCCAACCCATTCTTGATATTTTATTTATTCTAAATTATTGAAAATTTCATCATCTGAATTAGAAAACATTCTATTTCTATTATAATGGTTATAGATATTACAATTGTATAATTTTTCCATCTTTTAGATCTATGATTTCATTTTTTTTATCCAAATTAATTTAGAATTCCATTGTTAGCCATCTTTTCTTATTAGAATCAAAAAACAAGCATTTGTATTTTTATGCTTAACTTTTCACACTATTAATTGCTTAAAATGATTGATCTCTTAAAATAAATAGGTCATTTCATTACCCAATCATTTTCTTGATTTTCTTCTATTAGTGATATTGATTTGAACATGTAATTCCCATCTTATTATTTTTATAAGTTTATTTATTAATATTGTTTTTCAACAAAATAAGTTTTCTTGAAACTATTACCACTGAAGAAAGGATTTTCATACTACACTAATAAAAATATCTAAAATTTAAACAAAAGTTTCAATTTTAGATATGAGTAATATTTATTTAGCGCATATTTTCTTCTTCCAACAATTAAGAAATGTAAGAAAAAAGATACCATTATATGATAAAGTCTTTAATTGATAATTAATGTTTAACTTAATGTTGAAAAATTATTAAACCAATATTTTGTCTATTTGAAATTTTAATAAATATTTTTGCTTTATATAAAAAAACATTTGATAAAAAAAGATTATATATTGAAGAAATAGATGATGAAAAAATTTATGAATTTTAAACATATGCTGAGTGAAATTTTTATTTAACCATAGATGTTATAACCCAAATTTAAACTGAATTATCTACTACCGAATTTATTTCACTTTCTATTATTATGAAAATGAAGTAAGATTTTTGCTAATATTTTAGATTGAAATCTAATAATCTAGAAATATTCTCCATATTTGGCCTATATGATATTAAAAAAATAGAGGAATTTTAAAATCATATAGTTTCTAATTGATTAAGGCTGATCATAATAAAAAAGTAAAGAGAAAAACAATGCCAATTTCCTTCTAGTGTAACTAAAGTAGGTAATACAACAACCATAATTTAGATAAAGAGAGAAAATGTTTTAAGGTAGAAATAATTTATTAAATCGTGATGGAGATATCGAAGAAAATTGTAAAAAGATAAAGAAAGGTAGGAAATGAATATGAATCAACATTTAACAATAATAGAATTATTATAATCCATTAATCTTAGTTATAATATCATAATTTAAAATTTTCCATCTTCGTATTTCTATAATAAAATTATATAAATTTTATAAATAAATAGGGATAATAAATCTTAAAAATTGAATCATTTGGAACTATATTTTAATGCAAAGACTTAAATAGAACATAATAAAATTATGTGCAAAAGTTTAGCATTTATTATGAAATCGAATTAATTTAAAATGTTAACATAAATTAAATGACCAATAATGATAATAGATAATTAAAGAACTGTTAGATGATCCAAAAAAAAAAAGAGAAATTGAATTAATGAAAATGATAATGACATGTGCAAAGGGAAATAAATATATAGTAGGAGTAGAATATGTACATTCTGATGAAGAGAAGATTGTCCTCATTTTAGAAAATATGAAGCAGATTTGCAATCATTAAATGATAGGAAGATAGCTGTTTTCATCCTAATGAAATTAAATATATTAAAATAAGTAATAAATAGTTATAGAGTTTTTGTTTCAAATAATGTTATTCATAGAGATCATAAAAATGCATACTTAAATTTAAAGAGATTGACAGAATTTTTTGGAAATAATTATTTAAGCATCCACTCATTTAAGAAGGAGCTAATGCTGTTGTTAATGAAGCAAGAGAAACTAATATTAAATTCTAAGTCAAACTTATTCAAAATAATCTAAATGAAGATAAGGAATGAATAGCCAGCCAGTTTAAAAAATAATAAAAAATAAATAATGCTCAAACCAATGAAAAATACTAAATTCCTGAAAAACCTCCTAATCAATTAAATGGAAGAACTTGAATAACAAAGGGAATAGTGATCAAAACCATTTATTAGTTTTACAGCTCCAAGAATGCCTCTGGGTCATATAACTCCACCTAGAGTTCCACAAGATCCAATTATGAATAACACTGAATAAACTTATCAATTTTAATAAGTTCAAGCCTAATCTAGTTATTTTAAGCAGGGTTTGTATAAATTTAATTTCATATGAAGAAATATATAGTTAAATTTGTAATATCTATAAGAATTAAGAAACAGAATCAGTCATGATTGATTATCTAAACAAGCAAGAAATAGTTATTGAAATATTTAGCAATTATAAAAAGTCAATTAATTTAAATCTTCTAATTTAATGATAATCTAATAATTGTTTCATAAACAAAGATAAAAATCCTATTTAAGGTTTGAATTCCAATCAAAGTAATAGCTCAAATCAAACTAATTAATTTACTAGCATCAGAAAATACAAATTCAATTCTCATAAATTAAAAAAGATTATACATAATATGAATTCAGAATATTTCATCATGTTTAAAATATGAAGAGTGTTCCCTATTAATCCAAAAAAAAATCTACATTGTCAATGTGTCTACATACATACAATGATCAAATTGTATCTTATGACGGCTAAATTGAAATCAGAATTAATCAGAATTTGCTAGAATATCACTTGAAGCAATAGGATTAGAAGTTTTAGATAATAGTTTTACTGTTGCTGGAGTGAATAGAGATATTTTCATAATTAATTTATAAAATGGTTTAATTCTGCTGTGGGTATTGATAGAGAAGCTCCAGTTAAAGAATTGAAGTAGAAAGAAATGGAACTAGCAAACTGTAAGTCATGATACTTTACTTAAAATAGTGTAAATACTTAAAAATAAAATAGATTGTAATAGAAATGATTCCTTTATGCATATGTATTTACTTTTTGTTAATTCTTTGTAAACTAATCTTTCTTTCCATAATATCATTCAATTTATTGTTGATCTATTAAGCATAATACCTAATTATGTCCATTTTCTCAGATGCTTCAATGGAAACTCCTAGATCTTTTAACATTAATTCAACCATGAAGCCTCCATCATAATCTTTTGAACTATATAATTCTATCTCTGCTCCAACCATAAATGTTAATATTCCTAATTTAGTACCCCTGCATATATGTTTTTATTATCTTTATCCACTTTAGATAAATCATAGGAAACATCAGGTGAGATATGATATGAAATGATTATTATTATTGAGGGGCAGCTTATTCTACTACTTTTATTAAACTATATAAGAATGATGTTGTTAAATAATCTAGATGAAGCACTTCTGAATTTTCTAAAATATTTTAATAATTTGAATAACAACAAGATTTAAAGTTAGTGAGATGAATGTAATTTTAAACCCGATTTAATTTTTTAATCTAATACATCAAATTCTTTTGTCTGCTATTTAAGTTTTATGTTCTTATTCACTTACATTGGATGTGATTTCTATTTAAAGGTATTTAATTTACTTTTATTTTATTCAATAAGGTATTTGGAAGATTAGCCAAATGAAGATTTTGGTTCTTGTTTCAATTGCATACTTGAGATCTTTGCGATATTCGGTTTTAATATCAGGGAGACTTTCTTCAAATTTAGGTAGTTCGAGAGTATCTTCTTGAGATGTAATATAGATTTTAGACATGCACAGGAAATTTGTTATTTTTTATTCATAGTTTTCTGTTAAAATTTATATATATATAATTTTATGTAGAGTATTTGAATCACGACTCTGTTGTTTTGATTTTTGACTCTATTGTATCAATCATTACTTTGAGATCCTCATTATTATATCAAATATAGAGTGATATTTATGGAGAGGCACAAGAACTTAAAAATATTAAATTGAAGCATATTTTACAGAAATTTCTATCATACATAATATCTAAGAAGTAATTTAAATAAATGTAGCTATTACCATGATTTATTAAGTAAACCTAATCCCATCAGCCATTAAGGATAGCTTACAAGTAAACATTCTAAAGGGAATGAGGAAAACCTGCATGGTAGGTAGTTCTTATTATTGGGATTATATTCTCAATCAATTCTATAGGTGAGATTTGACAAGGGTGGTAATGTGGATTTCTTTTGAGAATAAGCTGAGTCTAAATTTAAATGGAGGAAGTCACACAAGTTATACACTATCTCTCAAAGAAGAGATATTTGTTTGATCATCTAATTAGCCTCTTCTTTATTTTTTGCTTATGAAACTGCGAATTATAATTGATATAGTTATAATTTATTGTTGTGGTTAATTTGGGGATTAAATCATCATATAATTTAAGGTCAAACTTATCCTATATCAGTTTACCAATTTATAGAGGCTCAGATTTATTATTATTAAAGTAAGATTAAATTATACTTTAACTGAAAGATAATGAATTACAATATTATTTATTAAGCTATTGAAATTGATGATAAATGTATTTTTGTAGAGGTATCATAATATTATGATGAATAGGAAATATGTATAAAAATTAAGGAAATAAAGACTACGATATATTAAATTGCATTTCAAATAATGCGATTGCATATATGAATGGAGGTTCCTAGATTTTTTAATTAAATAGGATTAAGATGCTTGTATTTATAATAACAGAGGTGTATAAAACTACTCAATTAAATAGGACCCCTATACTTCAGGTTGGTAAGACTGATGAGGCAATTTTAGATTTTAATAAGGTAATTAAATTATATCCTAATTCTTCTTATTACAATAGATATAATAAAGATATTATTTTTATAGGAAATCTTTTTGAAGCCATAAGTAATGAAGGAACTTCTAGAATATAAAAAGGCAATTGATTTGGATCCAAATTATTCTAAAGCATTTAATAACATTTCTTTTAACATTATAATAATGAATAGGGCTTTTATATTATACTTATAATTATAATAACAGAGGAGTCTTAAAATGAATTTGAATATTAGATTAGATTTTGGAAAATAAATGGAGGTTCTTATAGAGTATAACAAAGCCATAGAATTAGATCCTAATATTGTTAAATTTATTGTTAATGAGGTCATAAAGTTGTTATTAAAGAAAGTATTGTTGCATTAAAGTTTAAGAGATAAAGTTTAAGCAATGATTGATCATAACAAGGCCATTGAATTGATCCTACAAATTATAATAACAGAGGTAACGCAAATGTTTATTAAATATGAATATTATATTAAAATATGAAGAAATTCGATCAAGCATTAAAAGATTNCGAATTATAATTGATATAGTTATAATTTATTGTTGTGGTTAATTTGGGGATTAAATCATCATATAATTTAAGGTCAAACTTATCCTATATCAGTTTACCAATTTATAGAGGCTCAGATTTATTATTATTAAAGTAAGATTAAATTATACTTTAACTGAAAGATAATGAATTACAATATTATTTATTAAGCTATTGAAATTGATGATAAATGTATTTTTGTAGAGGTATCATAATATTATGATGAATAGGAAATATGTATAAAAATTAAGGAAATAAAGACTACGATATATTAAATTGCATTTCAAATAATGCGATTGCATATATGAATGGAGGTTCCTAGATTTTTTAATTAAATAGGATTAAGATGCTTGTATTTATAATAACAGAGGTGTATAAAACTACTCAATTAAATAGGACCCCTATACTTCAGGTTGGTAAGACTGATGAGGCAATTTTAGATTTTAATAAGGTAATTAAATTATATCCTAATTCTTCTTATTACAATAGATATAATAAAGATATTATTTTTATAGGAAATCTTTTTGAAGCCATAAGTAATGAAGGAACTTCTAGAATATAAAAAGGCAATTGATTTGGATCCAAATTATTCTAAAGCATTTAATAACATTTCTTTTAACATTATAATAATGAATAGGGCTTTTATATTATACTTATAATTATAATAACAGAGGAGTCTTAAAATGAATTTGAATATTAGATTAGATTTTGGAAAATAAATGGAGGTTCTTATAGAGTATAACAAAGCCATAGAATTAGATCCTAATATTGTTAAATTTATTGTTAATGAGGTCATAAAGTTGTTATTAAAGAAAGTATTGTTGCATTAAAGTTTAAGAGATAAAGTTTAAGCAATGATTGATCATAACAAGGCCATTGAATTGATCCTACAAATTATAATAACAGAGGTAACGCAAATGTTTATTAAATATGAATATTATATTAAAATATGAAGAAATTCGATCAAGCATTAAAAGATTTTAACAAAGTGATTGAGTTGTATTCTAATAACGCTAAAGCTTTTAGCAACAGAGGTAATATTAATTATCATTGATATAACGAAATATGTATAAAGAAAATTGCTAATCTGACTAAGCTTTTAAGATTTTCTTGAAGAACTTATAATCAGATAATTTACTTATAATAGCCAATTTAGGTGATCTTTATTAATTTTGGTTAAATTATAATCTTTCATTAAATTATTATATACAATCACCCGTATCATAAGACTCAATCACTCCTGAAAAGCAAAAAATTGAAATTTATCAGAGATAAATATTAAATTCATGAAAGAAAAGGGGAAATCTATTATTAAAAATAAATTAACTATTATCTTAAAATGTTTTTCTTTATTAAGATTAACTAAAACACTAATATGAATTCATGACAAACCTGAGTACTTGATTTTCTGTAATACAGACTTTCAAGATATGAATTACGTAATCAGTATTCCTTACTAAACTTAATAGGTTCTTGTGCAGTTGTTTAGGATGAGAATTTTAGATGAAATAATTAATAGTTGAGCATGCATTAAGTTTTGATAAAATTTTCAGCTGTTGAAAATTTTCTGTTATAAATGTTGCTGAGAAAATAGTAAAAAATCAATGTCATTTCATATCATATGTCTTTTATAAACTATAAGTTAATATGATTGATCGCAAGGAATAGCAATTTCAAATTGATAGTTTTAATTAATTTAAAGGTTGCTTTGTTGGAGACTTATATTAATATGTTTGATTTTATTTCTATACTATTTTTCTCTTATCTATTTTATAATACTTATTTCCATTAATTATATATAAATATAATTGATTTACAATTAATGATGATGAGTATCAATGTACTAAAAGGTTAGCTTGTGAGTATTGCATCCCAATATCAAAAATTTTAATATTTTTGTAGAATAATCTTAGTATTAAAGATTAGGAAGTTAAGACACATCAAATAAATAGATATTAAGATTTAACTAATTTAAATTAATTCAATCTTCAACAGTCAGGAAAATTTGGAAAAATATTAAAAAAATGAGAAATAGAAAAAATAAAAAATGTTTGCAAGTACCTCAGACATTCATAGCAACCTACGTGTTATTCCTTTATTATAGAAGGGCTTTCCATTAATAAAAATGGTACTATTTAATACAATCTCCATTGATCTCAAAATATCCATACTTAAAATTTTAAGTTAAATTTGGATCTTATTCTTTTATTAATCTTCGATTTGATTGTTTTTATGTTTATCATTTGATTATCAATAGTATTATTTATGGACTAATCCAAGCATTATTTTCAGGAAGATTTATATATCTTAAGTTTCTATTGAGCAAAATAAATAATTCTAATTAATTGGACCTAAAACTATTTTGAAAATTTAATTATGTAAATTGTTTATATCAGTTTTAAAAAAAGTTCAACGTGGAAATTATTAATAAAATAAAAATAATTATTTAAATATCTAAATAAGAAATTAAGTATTTTAAATTAGCAATTCGATAATTAAGATACTTAAAAATTAACATTTTCCCTATTTTAAACAATGATTGCTTATATATCCATTCTCCTTCTTTAAATATTGATTATTAAAATTGATTTTCATCGTTTCAATACTACTTGCAAACATCATACATAATATCAATAATAAATGTAAAAGTGTCATTAGATTAAACTTAACATTTAATATAATCAATGTATATAGAAAAAATCTATTTAAGAAAGAAGAAAAATATAGAAATAATATAAACACGATTTATCATAAATTATGAAAAGCATATCAAATATATGATGAGTTGGATGGTTATAAAATTTAACCAAAAATGATAATTTAATGAAGTACATTAAATTTAACAAGAAAAACATTTCATTTAAAATGATGAAAATATTTAATAATAATATTCTACTTTAAATTAACATCATTAATTTGAATAAGATGATTTGAACAATATTCCTTTAAAAGGATATAAGTATTATTATCAATTTTAATAAAACTGTTCTTATCAAATAGTGATTACTAAATTGCAAAGACCCAAAAATAAATTGGGATCGTACAGAAGATATTTCAAATAAAGATGATGACAGATTGAAATTTTAATTACCATCAGAGATAGTCAATACTTACAATAATACTAACCAAATATCTAATAAAGAGAATAAAGAGCAAAAAAATGGAATTCAAACTACAGAGAAGGTTAGGTTTTAAAGATTTAAATTTCCTCATAAGATGAAAAGTGGCTTTGTATTTTACAATTCATCGTTCTTGCAAAATATCGAAAAGAATTTTTAAATTAATGAAGAGCATCTAATCTATTGACTCTAATGACATTAAAACTATGATTTATTATATAATCACAATCATAAAAATACTTGTACAAATCTATTTGGCTTTATTATCAAGGTAACAGATCTTAATGAAGCATTATTGTTTGAGAAAAATCAAAAATTAGGCAATTCATTATAAATTGTAAATTATATAATACATACCTAAAAAAGAAGGGAAATAATCCTTTTTATAATCGATTACAAAGAAAAGTGATTAGAAATTTAAATTGGGATCAATTATGAAAACCAAATGCGATAGAAGTATCATTTTACTATATAATAGTTTGATGAAGTACTAGATTATATTCAAGAGAATATCTAACTTTCTATGAGTCTAATAAAATGTAAATATTTGAAAGATATTTAATTAAATTCTTGATTTAATATTTATATATATTTGCCAATTTACAAATTTTCTTTTAATTCTCTGCATTTCTTGTCAAAATATTTTCAATGGGTCCTATAAGTCTAGTAAAGAGTTGATAATCAAAATATACAACTACACTATCAATATAAAATTATTAACCAATTTTACTTTAGCTAAAACAGCAGCTTGTTTTGGTGTTAATTAATAAGAACCAATTCACCAAAATAATCACTAAACTAAGAACATCTTCATTTGATTAAAATACTATTAAAGTTCCTTTTACTATATAGAACCTATATCTCTCTTCTCTCCTTCTTTGATAATATATTCTTGAGCTTTAAAATGCCATCTCATATTTAAGTTTGTTCATAAGAACCAATAGATTCAGTATTTCAACTTTAAATAGTACTTCTTCGTCATATTCCATTCTTTTTACAGTTGCTTCTTGGACAATAGCATTGGAAGTAGATCTATCTAAGCAAATAAGCCTGAATCGTTATTAGATTAGATGGTGTAGAGAGAGCAAACTCATCAAACATGTCTCCACCTTAGTATTATTTGATTAGCTTCGGTTCTTGATCCTTATGTTCTGTAAAAGTCGAGTTGGCCATCAACCACTACATATAATGCATCTTCTTAATGAATGATCCAATCCTCAAGATTGAAGTGTTTTTCTTCCATTGTATAGATAATTATGTTTTTCTCATTTTAATCAAGTGCTTGGAACAAGAATACTCCACTTATTTTATTATCTATCCTTTCTCTAAGATCTTATGGTTTTGTAATGACTCTAGACAGAAAAACCATTAACTTCAGCACTTACAGAATTGTTATTCTTTTTTATTATATTTTCCATATCATTTACATCATCTTAATTTTCTTTCCAAAGGAAAGGAGATGAAGCCAAAATCAAAGAAATCAATCTTCAAATTGAAAAATTGACTGTAGAAGTAGTGAGTAGGAGATAGAATGAGTTAGATAGAGAGAAAACAGACACACACAGCAAAAATTGAATTAAAGAAGACAGCAGAAAACTTAGACTGTAAGATTATGAACTTCATAAATTATTTCAATAATGGTAAGAAGCGACAACAAATATTTGCAAGAACAGATCGAGCAATTAGAGATGAATCAGAGATATGCTGATATAAAGGCTTAAATCAAAGCCAATTTGTAAGATTTATAGAATCGAAAAAGTCTTAATTGATGAATGAAAAACAGGAAAATAAGGCTATGGAAGTTCAAAATAAATAGTTAGAAAGAACCATCTTTTCATAGAGATGATCAAACAAAGATATTGAATTGCTATAGATAATCTCAAGGCAGATGTTGAGATATAGAAAAATCAATTATTTGCATTTGCTGCAGATTTATCAAACAAAAGAAATTGATTGGCTAAAAATTGTAATAACTCTTGATTAAGATATAAAGACAGAATAATGCTCAAAAGAAATATGCAAGTGAGAAATGGAAATTGAAGTTGGAGGATATTAAACATTAAAAGTGTGAAAAATAAAAAGAATTCTTATTTAAAGTTACCCAAGATTTATATAATTTAAGAGAAAATGAGGCTAATTTATATTGGGAAATAGAAGCAAATGTTAGTGCTTGTCATAATTACTGAGCTCATATAAATAAATTGATATAAGAGTTTTAGAGATAATAAGTATTATTGTATAATGCAGAATATCAAAGATTTAGAAAATGAAATTAAAGAAATCAAGGAGAAAGTTAATTTATAAAAGAAAGAGTATTAAACACTGTTTGTTGAGTTTGAAGAGATTTAAGAGGAACAGATAGACTTTTGACTGATACCAAAGCATCATAACTAAATTAAAATAAGCAATAAATGAATTGCCTTAGGAAAATGATATGATTTATTAGGATTTGAGTAAAATTGTAAAATTAAAAGAAGTAGTCTTAGTTTAACATGATTTTATGAAATTGGAAATACTAAGATATAAAAAAGTGGTAGTAGATATGGCGTTTAACTTAGAGAATCCGAAATATTCATTAGAAATGGCTATGCAGGAAAAAGCATAGGAAATTTAGGCAGACAAAATGTATTGATGGCTGAACAAAAGTAAGGTGAGGAAGAAAAACGCTGTCGAAAATTGAAAGAGATATAGAAAAGAGTAAAAAATCTCAGGATAAAATATGAATCCTTTGTTCAAAAGAATTAATCTTCGAAATATAAGCAAGTCAACTAAAACATAGAGGAACACACCTAAGCTTATTATATAATTAAATCTTCATAGGAAATAGAAAAATTATAGAGGAAAGGGGATGAATTAAATGCTGAAATCTTTAAGAAAAACTTGGAATTAAAAGCTTTAGATAATACCTTAATTCCTCTTAAAATAGAAATAGTAAATATAGAGATTGTTTCTTAAATAAGGGCATTTCGTAAAAAGAAGTATCTCATAAAGATGGATTAAAAGAATAATGTAGAGCAGCATCTGAAATACTAAATAGAGTATTAAACAATATATATTCTAGATTGAGATTTTTGATAATCAAGAGAGAGAAGTGGATATGTAATTATAGAAGATTGAAAAGAATTACAAGATCAATAAGAAAAGATAAATAGAAATGTGAACATAATGAATTCTAAATTAGAAAAATATAGCAAAAAAGAATTGTGCTTGATGAATCGAACGCACATCTCTGCTTCGGATTAGATATTTTCAATAATTTAAATAAAACTTTAGAGGCTTGCACTTTGAATCATTTTAGATTCTATTCATCTAATATTAAGTTAGGCTAGGAATTTCCAGAAATACAAGCAACAATAGATGCTGTCTTTTAAGAGAAAAATGTCAATGTTTCGATCAAACAACCTTCATCTTTTGGAGTCCCTTCTGTTAGATCGTCTGTAAGTTCAGCTTCTTCTCAAGGCAGAAGAAGATTAAGATCATATTAATAAGTAATTAAACAAAAAATATATAATTTTTATTAATTATACCTGAAAAGTATATTCCAAATGAATGTACTCCAATGAAAACTTGATTATTAGAAGTAGATTATTGAGAAAGGTAAAAGTAGATAAAACTGAATCAACAAAGGGAAGTAAGAATGCCCAATTGCTGCACGAAAAGATGAACTTGTTTAATTAGAAATTCTACAAAGAAAATGGAACTTTAAAGATTAAACAGAAAATACATAATTGGTAGCCATTCATTCCAATTAAAAAAAAATTTCATTTAGCCTAAACTAAATGAAGATAAAAAACATCCTTTAAATTGTAGCTCATAATATTCAAGTTTAATTCATGATAATTTTATATTCATCTCAAAGAATTTATTCTTACTTTCTATTTTCTTTATATTTCTTTTCGTCAATTACTTAAACTAAAGTAAACAAATTAATAAAATCTTATTTTATTGAAAATTTGTACAATTTATAGTTTGAGANAATTAATCTTCGAAATATAAGCAAGTCAACTAAAACATAGAGGAACACACCTAAGCTTATTATATAATTAAATCTTCATAGGAAATAGAAAAATTATAGAGGAAAGGGGATGAATTAAATGCTGAAATCTTTAAGAAAAACTTGGAATTAAAAGCTTTAGATAATACCTTAATTCCTCTTAAAATAGAAATAGTAAATATAGAGATTGTTTCTTAAATAAGGGCATTTCGTAAAAAGAAGTATCTCATAAAGATGGATTAAAAGAATAATGTAGAGCAGCATCTGAAATACTAAATAGAGTATTAAACAATATATATTCTAGATTGAGATTTTTGATAATCAAGAGAGAGAAGTGGATATGTAATTATAGAAGATTGAAAAGAATTACAAGATCAATAAGAAAAGATAAATAGAAATGTGAACATAATGAATTCTAAATTAGAAAAATATAGCAAAAAAGAATTGTGCTTGATGAATCGAACGCACATCTCTGCTTCGGATTAGATATTTTCAATAATTTAAATAAAACTTTAGAGGCTTGCACTTTGAATCATTTTAGATTCTATTCATCTAATATTAAGTTAGGCTAGGAATTTCCAGAAATACAAGCAACAATAGATGCTGTCTTTTAAGAGAAAAATGTCAATGTTTCGATCAAACAACCTTCATCTTTTGGAGTCCCTTCTGTTAGATCGTCTGTAAGTTCAGCTTCTTCTCAAGGCAGAAGAAGATTAAGATCATATTAATAAGTAATTAAACAAAAAATATATAATTTTTATTAATTATACCTGAAAAGTATATTCCAAATGAATGTACTCCAATGAAAACTTGATTATTAGAAGTAGATTATTGAGAAAGGTAAAAGTAGATAAAACTGAATCAACAAAGGGAAGTAAGAATGCCCAATTGCTGCACGAAAAGATGAACTTGTTTAATTAGAAATTCTACAAAGAAAATGGAACTTTAAAGATTAAACAGAAAATACATAATTGGTAGCCATTCATTCCAATTAAAAAAAAATTTCATTTAGCCTAAACTAAATGAAGATAAAAAACATCCTTTAAATTGTAGCTCATAATATTCAAGTTTAATTCATGATAATTTTATATTCATCTCAAAGAATTTATTCTTACTTTCTATTTTCTTTATATTTCTTTTCGTCAATTACTTAAACTAAAGTAAACAAATTAATAAAATCTTATTTTATTGAAAATTTGTACAATTTATAGTTTGAGATATGATTTCGAATTTAAAATATTAGCTTGTATTTATCAAAGATTTAAAATTTTTATTTAAAACAAGTTTCTTTGTCGGGTTGTGAATTTTCTTTGAGTGAATGCTTTTATATGATTTGATTCTAACTTTTATCATGAATTGCTAATGCTATAGTTGGAAGGAATTCTTTATTATTAGTTAAATTGAAGAAGAAGGTCTACTAAGAATTTATATTGGAAGAATTTGTATTACTACCTTACTAAATCCTTTTTAATGTTATAAATTAATCTTCAGATCTTAATTATTCAACAACTTCTTATTACTCTTCTAAGAGACTTCTTCTGGTTGAGTCGATAATCTCTTGTTTTAAGTAAACATATATTTTTAATCATTTAAGTTAGTCATTGCTCTTTACATCAATCTAAACATACTTAACTCTTAGAGATTGCTACTTAATTAAATCTTGTTGATTGATTTAACTTGATGTAGTATATAATATCTTCTATATTGGAGTAAGCTTTTAATTCTTATAAAATAGAAACCTTTTTGAGTTATCTTATTCAAGGAGATGAAATAGTTTCTATCCAGCCACTTCAAGATATATTCATTAAATCGATACTATTCTAAATTATAAAAGATTCTGCTACAGAAGCCTTCTTTTTCATTTAAATAATAAAATAATCACAAGAAAGTATAATTTAACAAAGAAATCACCACTTCTTTTTTTGTATATCAGGAGCAATGGATGTTCGAACTATGCCATTGGATCTAATTAATGAAGAATCAGTGTAATGAACAATCAGATAACAAAGCCTTTGAAAATCTAATAATATCCTTTAAGCTACATAAAGGGATGATGATTAATTTAATAAGTATTGATCACATTTAGGTGACAATACTAATTTTAAAGTGAAAACTAAGAAAGATCCATAAACCAATAGTAATTATTGTGTAAATTCTACTGATACATTTATTACATGTATTAATTTCCACTCCTATAGAGTAGCTTATTCTGATTACAATCTAACCTATGAGTTACAAACCTAATTGCCATTGTTATTGTTAAACTTGTACTATAATGTTTTAAAGACTGCTAGATTGGTTGATTATTTATCATTAGTTATATTGATTCTATATGTTTTAGATAGTATTCAATTTACTTTTTACTGTAAGTTTATCTAAAAGTCACATATTTTAAAGTATTTGTGGATTTCTTATAGTTGTAATATCAACAAATTTTATTAAAATTAATATGGTTTATTTAATATTCTTGCATTTAAAAATAATTAGTCAGTTTTAATATATCCAATTAGGATTGTTGTACTTATTTTTATTATTTATTATTACCATTATGAGTGATTAATTTAACTATTTATACAGAAATTAAAGGACTTTAATATGAGGATTAATGGAATTTTCAAAGTTATTAAACAATTACCATTCGAACTTAAATATGAATGTATATTGATATCAACCAAATAAATATAGTAAAGATTGAAAACAAGAAATTTAATTGATTATGATAATTCAATCAGAAAGAACATAAGAGAACTTGAAAAAAAAAGATGCGTCAGGATAGAATATAATGGATATGTTGTTCAAAATGTAAAGAAATCACAAAATAGAATATTGTAAGAAGATCCATGAGGTGCCTCCGAATTAAATATTAATGGATGATATAAATTTGGATAAGATCAATAAAAGATAGAAGTTTTAAAGAGTAAATAATTGTATTACAGTAGAGAAATCATACAAGAAAGTTTAGATGCTTGAAAAATATCAGTATGATAGAATAAGTTGTATGTAATTTAAGAAATATCTCATTACTATCATCTGAAAAGTTTAACATCCTAAAACAATTACTAATATAGGTATATGTTGTGAATATAAAATTAAATTACATAATATAATATATTGACAATAGTTTGAGTAATAACATACTGAACATTCGTCGATTATAGATTCTTTTCTTTGGCTGATTGATCTCCATGGTTAAAACACAATATCTAATAAATGGAATGTAATAAATGCAGCCTATCCATGTATTTGTAGAAACTATAGAAAACAATATATACTTATTTTGGCATTGTATCTAGTTATTTTTCATGTTTTCCTTTTTTTTGTTGTTGAATTAAAAAATTATATGCTTATTCTTTAATAAGTAATGCGAAGTAGTTATCAACCAAAATTAGTTGAAAAAGTAGTTATCAACCAAATTAGTTTAAAAAGTAGTTATCAGCCAAAATTAGTTTAAAAATAAGTGTTATATATGAAAATTTAATGATTGCTGTTATCTATTATATACTTGCAACGCTGCTAATTGTAATTTGATCTAATATTTATTAATTAGCAGAATTATTTAAATTTTATATAGCAGTTCTACATTATATATTGGCATCTCATTTGCTTGCAAAAATATATGATTAGGGCTAGTAATTTTATCAAAAATATCTTAACATACAATATTTTGTAACTAAGAATCACCCTTTTATGATAATTAACCAGAATCTGGTTAATTGTTTCTTTTTATTAAAAAAACATAAAATATGGATTAGCCAAATATCGAGAGTTTTAATTTTACTTTAGTTAAAATTAAAGATTAATTTAATTATTATCAATGTTATTGGACAGTTTGATAAGCAATTTATTATAATTTAATATAGTAATTTTGAGAAACTTAAAAGTAATTTAATCTTATGATATTTGAAATAATGCCACGGCTTTGGATGAAAGTGCAAATAAACTGAACAAGATATCTCAAAAAGTGAATGCAAGAACCAACCAGCCCATCTAATTCAGAGAGGATTATATATAAAAATCAGATAAATCTTTTTCTTTAACCATATTTAGAGATGATTTATTTTAAGTCTCTTTAATGGCTTATTATATTTTTCCAAATTGAAATCTTACATTTTTTTTATTTTACTATTCTCTCAAGCTCAATTTGCCAATCCCAAGTTTTAATTAACTTTTTCATTAAATTTTATCATTAAATACAAGGCTAGACTAAAGCTCTTAATTCTTTGCAATATATACTCTTTTAATCTGATGTTTATAATCTATGTCTAAAAATTTGGAATCTACCAAAATTTTTGATTTATTATTCCAAATTAATTTGATCAGTCTTTATACAACATACTTCAAACTCAATTGAATCAATCATTCAATTATAAAATGCATATCCTGGTTAATTTTAATTGCTTTCTTATACTTACCATTTATTAAATCCTTGAACCAAAAACTATTTATTAGGTCAAATACCTAAAATCCTATTAATTCAATCAATTTCTTATAGAAAATAGTAATATCTAAAACTGGTTTAGAAAAATTGGAAAAAAATATTATTTTAAGAGTTTTTTTTTGATATTAGCAATTATTCTAAAAATATGACTAGCTAATCGACTGCTCAATCAATAGAATATCATACTATTGAGATAATTATTATAGTTTTCTAAATCTAATTACTAAAATTTACTTAACAATCTAAGAAAGAATTTATTAAGAATAGAAATAAATTATAACTTAAAATCCTCTTTAAAATATTATTTTTTATTCAATGATAATCTTCTGTCTATGCCTATGCTCATAAATAATAAGATATTCAAAATTTTTGGTAAATGCAAATAACTCTTTTAAGTGATTTCAAAACACTTCTTAGAAATATAATGTCAACATTACCCTTTCATCTTTTTTCATCCTTCTTAATTTTCATATTTATATCTTTACATTTGATCTATCTTATTTTAAATAAATATCAACAAGTTAGGTTGACTTAATTTTTTTAATTTTCTTGTCGTAGATTGAACTTAACCTATTTTACATCTAAGACATTTGCTAAGATGTATATAAATATCATCAATTCATATTATAAATGATCGTTTTCAATTATTTTAATATTTTCTTTATTAAACATTTCTCCTTTCTAAAAAAGATAGACCAAATATTTATAATATGATTTTATAAATTAAAGTAATCTCAGACATCAATCATAATTTATCCTGCATTTTTGATACAGGTTTGAATGAAATTACTTGATTCATTGACATTAATTAAGAAATACTAATTCAGATGAATTTCCATATAAGAATGATTATCATTCATATTTTGGTTTCCATTTTTTATGATTCAGAATATGCATCAAACTCATAAAGAAATTATGATTTAAATTCTAATTATAATAATTTCGGATTTGCTCTATTTTATGAATGATACATTTAATAGTTAAAATCCATAATAATAGATAGCATTTTTAATAATTTTTTGCAACTAACAAAAACCTAATTACATTAAAAAATAACTATTTATAGAGATATAAAAAATAAGCAATTATGAAAGATGGTTAGGTGATTTAAAATAAAAAGCAAATAAAAATGTATTTTGGAAAAGAATAGATATTTGATTTGAAATAGTAAAATATCACGATTGTGCAATATAAAATAAATTAATAAATGAGGAAAAATAATTGTAACACAAAATTAAAACAAACCTAACAATCAATTTTCTTTTATTTAAAACATTAGGATTAAGTAACTATAGATGGATATTAGACTCTTTAGCTTTGATGTTAATATCATTTAATGTTGATAATATATGGTTAAACTCTTATATAAATGAAAAACAAATATTTATATTTCTTTTTAATTTGCATTAGTATCTTTTCATTAAATATAATATTATTGCTCAAATTAAAATTATTTATAAATTTTGAATAAAATTTATGCAATATGTTAATTTTTCGATGTTGAGGAGAGTGGATGGATTAAATTTTAAGGAACCTTTATCATTCTATTGATTCTTCAATATTCTTTAATTTTGCCTGTATGAGTGTCAACATTTATATTTTATAGACTATATTAATTATGTAGATCAACTAGCCTTTTGTCAAGTGGATGCGATGCAAAAACAAATAGAAATTTAGCAACTTCAATTTTTGAGTAATTGAATTGAAAGTAATATTAAGAAATAATTTACTATTGCAAATTAACTCAAGCAATATAAGCCTAATAGTTTATTAGGTTTATAGAACTGCGCTTGTAATTATTATATTATTCAATAAGAAAGATTAGATTTAATATTATCAGTTTTAATTTGCTAAAAAGAGCTAGTTTCATACGAAAGATAGAATAAGTATAGTAATAATCTTAAAGAATAAAATAAAATTATTGAATCATTTAGTAGAGAAAAAATTCAAGGAGGTTAAATTATAAAAATGAATTGAATTTTGTGAAACAACAATTTTTTTATGATTTCTCTTAATTGTTTGATCAAAATGATGGAGAAATATCTGTGGTGATAGCATTTTCTAACATGAGTGCCATATACTTAATCTGTAGAAATTGCAAAAACAGAAAGCATATACTGAGGATTATTGAGCATCAAAACTACAGTACTAAATAGTATCTACCTCCTAAATTCTCTTCTATTTAATGATTACGAACATGTGTAAAATACACAGTTAATTAGAGATATGAAAATAGTGAGAAAAAATTACAATTAAAATGAAATGAATCTAAAAGCATACCTAAACAACACCCCCCCAACTCTTAGCATTTATCGAAGTATTAGACTTTCAATATACAGATGAATTAAATAATATTATTCTCCATTAAGTCAATATAGAAAAAATAGAAAATGATTTTAGGTTTATGAAAACAATTGTTGGAAGTTAATGTTAAATTTTCAGTAAACTCTATGCTAAGATTAACTTAAACATAATAATCTTTAAATATTTAGATAGATATTACGAAAGTAAAATTTAATATAATAATTAATTAATAAGAAATAGACTTCTGCTAAAATAATGCATTCAGTCCTCATCAAAGCACAATTATAATTATGATGGCTAATAGTGAAATTCTCAGGTAATTTTTAATAAATAGGCTGTTTGAAGTTGATAGACAAATTTGGTTAATTCATACAAATAATAGTTATTTACCATAATCACAAAAGCTAATTAAAAATAAATAAAATTTTTTTAGCTGATGGCTTTTGAGATGAGAGGAATTTATGTGACAAAATTTATTTGGTAGAGAAATCTAATAAAATGTGAATAGTAAATGTGCATTTTCAATTTAAAGAACTCGTAGTTCAGCTCTTTATAAATTACTAATTGTAGTATAATAATAATACTAATTATTATTATCGATTGTAATTATGAATTAAAATAAAGAAAAAAATGAATTTGAAATATTATAATAACCTACATATTCTGGAAGAAATCCATTATTTGCACCAAATTATGAAATTATGACTGTTTTCTTAGATGATTAAGCAAATTTTATTTATTTCTTTCATCAGAAAGCTTTTTTTTAATAGTTCATACTCATATTTGTTAAATGAAAATTATTTTATTTAATGGATTTGTAATCAATGCCAAGGAATATTAGATAAGGTTTAGATAAGGTAGATATATTAAACTATTTATTTGGAGATTTTCTTATTTTTATTGATTTGAAGAGCCTAATTTAAAGTAGTAGAAACATTAACAAAAAGGATTTCTTTATTGTTGAGTTGTGATTTGAGGTTTTTGATTTGGTTAAGCGTACATTATTATTTGTTAATAAGTTTTTACTAAAATTAACCTTTCATTATTATTATCCTAAATAATCTTACAATTTGATAAGTATTCTTAGAGATAATCTTTTATATTTTAGGGTCTTATTCATTAAGAAGAGTAAAATTAGAAGAAGCATAGGTTTTTTGATGCATTTAAGTTCCTTTTTTCCTTTTTTATTACTTAACCATAAATACAATTCTTTTTTAGATTTATTACTCAATTTCTTATTAAATTAATAATATTAATAATAAAATAAAACAATTGATATAAAAGATATTTTAGCATATAAAATAAAAATATTTTTTATCTTTCCAAAGGATTTCCTTTTAAGAAACCTTAATACATCCATATGGAGTTGCTTTTTATAAAGATAACTAAGAGAGTACTATAAATCCAATTATTATATCCATGGATAATGCTGTAGAAGAGTTGAATGAAAGTATTCTACAAATTAGATCCAAAGCCTCAGGTGTGGCTATTGGAAAAATGTTAGTAAATCCAACTCTTTATTCTTTAGGAGTACTCTTGACAATTTGAAAAGTCAAAGGTGCTTAAACTCTTTATATTTCAGTAATAGTTGATCCTCCTATAACCTATAAAACTCACTCATTAATTAAGTGTTACTACAGGTTTAGCGTATTAGAGGGATAAAAGAAAAATTTTAGGAGTTCAATACCATATTGTTGCTTCATATTCAGTCAGAATTGAAGCTTCATTAATCTAATTTAAAAAAGATTATTCAAAATCCGCAACTAAATATTAAATTCTGCATCCAATGATACATATCTTATTTTTGTTTTAATTCTTTGAATGATTTCAGCAAAACAAAATTTATTTTAATACTTTGAGTATTTAATAAATTATATATCTAAAATTCAAGTTTAAGTAACGTATTTCTTCAAGGATTTCATCTCATATTACTGTTACTATGAAATCAAAAACAGCACAGTAGTTGTGATTCTTGTAATAAATTTTGTGGTATCTTCATTGATGCCTCAACTAAATGTACATAATGTTCAACTAACAATCTTTTGAGTGCTGATATAAACTCTCCATGATGGAGATTAAATTACTGGAACTTGCTTATCGTGTGCATCTAATTGCAAAAGTTGTACAAATTCTTCATCTAATAGTTGTACAACATGTACAAATTACTTTTTGTCTTTTAATAATAGTTGAGTAATTTAATGTCCAATTTAAGAAGTTATAAATTCAGATGGAAATTCATCAGGATAATGATTATATAATAATTATTGTCTACAAATGAATCATGGCTTGTGAATATGACATAAATATTTGTATTCTTTTACTTCATCTTGTATAATCAGTTATGAAAGTTATGTTTTTAGTTGATTAAGTCTGTATTTCTTGTCCTTACAGTTGTAATTAATGAACTTGTAATAATATTTAAGGGTGTATTTTTGCTCTCTTAGATTGTGACTTCAAAAACTGTAAGATAGTGACCCTAGAGGTTAGTTCTTAAAAAAGTTGCAATTATTTCTTGAATATTTGATGAATGGAATGTGCGCTATGTAATTAAACTGCCATATACACAGAGGTCCCAGTTCAAACTAATGCTTAAGTTGTAGTAATCTGCTTTTCCTATTTAACTTTTAATGTTTGATTTCTTGTATTGAAAGATACTTCTAAAATGAATTTGTCTTGTAAAAAAATCTGTAAAACTTCTATTTTTGTGGAAGTTCTTCTGAATCAAATGAATATTGCTCCTCTGGATACTATTGTGGTACTATTAGAAAATTTGTTTAAGTGCTATTCTTTATGTTTTTTGTGCAGTTGTGCAGAAAACATTTAATAAGTTGTGAAACTGATTATAATCATTCAATTACTTCGAAAAAGCTTTATTCAATTCTGATCCTGGAAAATATGATTGAACATATGAATTATAATGTGTGTGTTTTACGATTCAGTTGGATTATTATATGCAGCCTTATTATAGAATAAGGATCCAAATTCACAAGTAGTTCATTTACCCATTCCAAATAACACTATAAGTTATCCTTAACAAGTAATCTAAAAAAGGTTCCTGCATGACAGATTGTTAATTCTTTCTGCCAAACATAATTGAATCTTCCAGCTGAATATATGATACAATCAGATTATGAGATTATATTGAGCCCTTACAAGTCTTACTTCCAAGATCACATTATCTACAAGCTCTGGCATTTACTGCTCCAATTATCCATCACAACATTGGCTAAACAATTATTAATAGAATTTAATTTATTTAAGAAAAAGGCAGAATCAGGAGAGTTAAATAGTAATTAAATTGTTTAGTTAATCTTAATTTCCATATTAGCTTAATCCATTTTGGGCTCATATTTAGGACATTTTTCTAGATTTTCTCAAGTTGCAAGCATAAGTGATTAAAGTTAAGAAATCACAACTGTTATGATGGAATTGAAATGTTATGGAGCATTTATCTATGATTATGATATGAATTAGAATATATTTTGTTTAAAAAGAATATATCAATATCAAATTGACATTGATTAAATTTGTTAAAACACAAGAATTGTCAAAATTATCTTTATTTTAACATCTTTTGATAGTGATTAGGAGTAAATGTCAAAATTATACTATATATTATTAATTTTAATGTAAGAGTTTATATACATGCTGAAATTAACTTAGGAACAAACCAATTATAGATAAGGAAGATTTAATCCAAAATGTAATTAATTAAAGAAAAATGAGTGATTAATTATACTATGAAATTATTCAAGTTTAATTTAGATTATTGTATCTAAATCATATACATTCTTAATTCCAGTCAAATTATTACATCGACTTTTAAAATAAAAAGATAGTAGTTTTTTGGAGTTGGGAATCTGGAGCAGCAGAATTGAATATTATAGGCCTGAGATTTATAGAAGACAGAATTAACTTAGACAGTAAAGAACAAAAATGTAGTTACAGGAATATTAGAAAATATATCATAATATAGGATGATTCTCTGTAAGACCTAATGTACCTATTCTAACATTTAGTTGTAAAGATATTAAAAGATATGAATGGAATTTCTATGAAAAATATAATAAACAGATAAAACTAAACCAAAAACATTTATTAAAATTTTAGAATTGATTTTAACTTTAATTGATTCGAAATATTATGCTACTTATGATGAATCTTAGGCAGTAAGAGTTTTCAATTTCGAATTTGATCCTAATGGTTAATTAAAATAATAAAAAGAATGGATATTTGATGGCAAATATAGAGTATATCATCCAATAAAATCTGTGGCTTATGGTGAAACTCTAGAAGTTTTGGGGGGGTGACGATTTTGCCATTAATGTCTGAATGGCGATTTTGTTGCTTCTAATAAATACTCAAAAAATACTTTTGTAAAAAGCGTACAATTAAAAGAATTGTATTAAGCAAACCAAAAATTATAACCAATAAACTTAAATATATAGTTTTCTCAAAAGTACCTATTCAAAAAAAATATATATAGGCTTAACAGAATATATAAACAGTAAAAAAAAATCTTTTCAAGTATTTTGCTCATTAAGTTAATCAATTCTATAGTATTTAATATAAGCACAAGAGGTTGTATATAAGGTGTTCTTATTTGATAAAGAAATCTATAATTAATGTTACAATTTTGTAGCTCTTTCTCTCATTTAGTTAAATTAATTTTAATTGTTGTAGCCACTTAAAATCTATATATATATAAAGAACAAGATTTAAATTTCTTATGAAACTATTAAATTTTCACTCTTTTTGAAAAAATGCTTGGAGGATTCATGTAAAATTCATTATCTTCTTATAGAATTAGATAATATAGAGGATATTATTAAATATATAACAATAAAGAGATTTAATTTATAAGTAAATAAAAAATGAATCTTGGAGGAATAATTTTAGATGTTGAAAATAGGATAAATTTTTTATTATTATTAAAATTGTGAGTTAGATTATGAGGGGATAGAAGGGAAATAACAATTGTTACTAATTATATTTTTCAAATAAATTTTTTCTATGGATAAACAAGTAATACTGATTTGGGGTACATTTAGTACAATTTTGTTGGAGCTATTGATGAAGGAGTATTAAAATCATTAAATTTTGTTGTCAGTTTGGCAAAATTCATTAATTAAGATCAAATGAGAGCCAGATTCTGAATGATGACACATGACAAGTCAATATTATTTTGAGAGATTTTTATAAAAGTAACCAGGATAGAATTAGAAGATTATTGAGAACAATTTTCTTGAGAGAGAATGTTTTGCATTAGTAAGATCAGTTAATAATGAGAATCAATTATGAATAAGCAATATCATTCAGGAAAATTCTATTCTCTCTGAGAGTTCATAGAATTATCTGTGAAAAATAGATAAAAAAGTTTTACAAATATGATACAAATATTAAATATTATACTAATATTATACAAAATATATTTTATTTTTTTTATTTTATATATAACCACATTAAAATATACGAAATTAAACACCATGGTTATAAAATAGAACAACTTTAGAACTAGTGGGTAGACCCAAAAAGGCATTTGATTGGATAAAGTACGGCTATTTAAGGTATCCTCATATCTCACCATATTTCAAAATTTAATCTACAATCTTTAATTCTTCTAAAAGGTATCATTTTAATGCTGTACTCGTAGAAAAAGGATCAAAACTTAAAGAATTCAACTCACATATTAAACAATAATATAATAATTAAATTAACTTTCTTTTATAAATACAAACCTATAAATAATTTCATCATTCAAAACTTTTTAGGGTAAACTTTGCTCTGGTACTTTGACCTTGAAAATATGGTTCTATTTAAATTATGTTTAATTTAAAAATTTTTCACTCCCTAATTTTGATCCACAATTGTTACTTAAATTTAAGTCTTTTTAGGATCAACTATTTCTTTTAATATTTTATTTCTTTTTTTCTGAAATATTTTCTCCTTCACTATTTTATAAATGTTGTATAACTCAATAACAATGAAAATTATTAAGACACTAACCAATATTGACATTTAAATCCAGGAAATATAAATTTTCTGACTATACAAAAGGTAATTAGAAATAATATTCCAATTTACAAATGTTGATGCAGTAAAAATTGTTAATGAAGATTCCATTGTAACTGATTTTACATATTCTAGATTATCTAAGTCTAGTTATTTAAATTGTATTATATATATCAAATAGAAAGCATTAATCAAAGTTAGAATCAATGTTTATAGTTCTTATTCATTTTAGTAAAATACAAGTATGTAGAGAATTAGAAACTTTTTAGTAACCTAAAAGATATCTCTTTTTTAATGCCAAAATTAATTAAAATTTAATCTTTTCCATGATTACAATCCTGAGACTTATCTTAAAAGTAAAATAATTGTTGTAATCAAAATTGAAATAGCAATTAATATGCAAACAAATGATCTAGGAGATTTGAAATCATGAGAAGCTTTTAATTCTAATAAAGCCATAAAAATTAAATCCCAAGTACAAGCACGCAAAGTATTAATTAAGGAACTATTTTTTGCTTCTTTCTATTTCATATTTACTTATCTTTTAATTTTCTAGATAAATCTAATTATTTTTGGCCATTTCTATAAAAACTATTAAAGTTCAAGTTTAGAGAGTACCCGAACTCCAACGAATGTACTTACATAAACAGCAAATAAGGTGGCAAAGATGAGGATTTCAGCTCTAAGACCTTCAGCAATATCAGCATTAACTTGATAGAACTCAAATTTTTAATATGATTATAGGTAAGGAAATTTAAGTAACTTACCTTCGTTTTGATAAAGTGTCATAGTATCTAAAGCTGGTTAAACTGATAATATTTGAGATGATTAAAAATAAATTATTAATGTTTATGGATATAAAACATTAATGTATTTGAGATAAGATTGTTCTTAAAGGGCATCTATAATACCCCAAAAGGAGAGAGCATTACCTAAAAGCATAAGTAAAATAGTTAGGAGACATAAAGATTTAACAGAAACTTCATTAATTTATTGGAATGCGTTAGCAATAATTGCCTATTGCTATGTGATGAAATTTGGTTATTTAATTTGAATGTAATGAATCATATATCGTAAAGGAGCTTGATCATTATTATATAATTATTCAGTTAATTTAATTTCTAGGATTGGATTGTAATCTAGATTTTAGAGTAATTCAATCTAGAAAACATACTCAACATTTGATGTTTATTAAAATAGTGCTGGTTAAACTTCCAAAATTGTAATATTGAATAACGTTTCATTCAAATCAATAATTGATGGTTTTATTGTTTACAAATAATTTAAATTTGATTATTGTAATACAGGTTATGAGAATGTGATTTTAACATATTAATTTTCATTCTTCTACATTAAATATTCAGAAATTATAATTGGATACTGAACATATGTACATTCAGAATCTAAATGACAAATCCAATTGATTTCTATTAAACAATTTTTTGAGCAACCATCTCCATCATTTTAATTACCATCATCACACTCTTCTAAATTTGATAGAACACCATCACCACAAATATTTGTACAAGTATTATCAAATAATAAGAATCCAGTATTACAAATTAAACATTCTCCATTTAAACAATCATTACAATTCAGAGGACAAGTGAATTTACATTGATAACATCCATCATTATTCTCATTATTATTATCTTCGCATTATTCTTCTCCTACTATAATTAAATCTCCACATATTGAAGAACAAATATTATTAAATAAGTAATACCCCAATTAACAAGAATCAAGACAAACTCCTTATTAACAACTCTAACAATTTTAAGAACATGAAAATTAACAATTGTAACAACCATCAAATTCAATTTCATTCCCATCATCACATTCCTCATCATCTTAGACTATTAAATCTCCACATTTACTAACACAAGTGTTTCTTATTAAATCATAAGTTTCTCTACATTGATAACAATTACCAAATTTACAATCAATACAATAAGGATTGCATTCACATTCCTCAAGCGAATAGATTGCTTCGCTATTGTTACCACAAATCTCTTGACATTGTCCCACCACTAGATCTTGTCCTTATTAGCATTTATAACACACACTCTAAATACAAATTTCACATTAAGGTTGACATATACTTACTCTTTGTTCTTATATGCATTGGTTATTTTATAAAATATAATCTTATTAGCATACCTAACTATTTATTTATAATATACCTAACAAATTCCAAAATGACACTCATTACAAAAGCCAGGGCATTCAAATCTACGTTAAACACAATTATATCCATCACAGTCCTCAGTTAATGTTTTCAAAAAATCTCCACAATTTGGTATGCAAGAGTTTGATTCTAATTTCAATATAAACCCATTTTAACATTTAATACAACTTCCCTAGAAACATTCTTAACAACCTTCAATATAATCAAAACAGATAGGTTCATTTTAAGCAATAGGTATATTCTAACTTTATATATTCAAAGAAACTCTTTAACAGGTAGATGCAAATTTTTAATATATCCATCCAGAATAGCAACCTAAACAAATTCCCTTATTACATAAAGAACAACCTTCTACACAAGAATAAACACAGTTAAAGCATCCATCAAATGGATATAAATTGCCATCATCACACTCTTCATATTCTTGAACAATTGTATCTCCACACATTGAATTTTCTATAAATTAAATGAATAATTCTACAAACAAATATTTCGATGTCTCTAACTCCAAATGATTCATCATTACTAGATTGGTCAAGCGTATTTGAAATTATAATTGTTGTTGATGTTAAATAATGGGGAAAGGTAAGTTCGACATTAATAAAAATGTCATTGGAAGATGTTCCACATACCCCATATAAATATTAGTTCAATCCTGATAAGCTTCTTTTCCATTTGATATTTTGATTCACTTATAAAAGTGCATAATCCCTACTTTCCCAACTATCAATTTTGAGATATTTGAATTTAATTTTCATTTATGAATGAAAAGGTAAGGAGATGGATGTATAAATTAGCTTTGTGTCTTTTCCACAAGCACCATAACCACATATAGATGGTATTTCTATAATGAGAGATAATTTTACAAGAACATTATTATTTATTTAAATCTCCGTTCAAAATGGTCCATCCATCAGTTGAGAAGGAGTTGTATTCAATTGCAGTATAAAAGGAACCTATAATAATCCACGTTTGACATTCAGCCTTTGAATTTGATTCTGAACAAATCAGACAACCAGATGGACATAAAAAAAGGAAAAGTCTGAAATTCCTAAATCCCCATGATTCCTAATTTTAGAATTATTATACATCAAAAGGAATTTAATCTAAAGTACTTGTCAACTCAATGAATGATGTTGTTCCTGTGTGTGGAAATGAAAATTAAATATCAAAGATTGAATCTTTTCGATCATTTCCTGTTTAACCACAAATATAGATTTGTCCTTATGAATAAGAGTAGGCTTAATTATACTCTAAGTTCTCATCTACATAAATTTGAAAATATTCGTTTACATCCCATGTATCAATTCTACTATTAATATATTAGAAGTACATAAATAGAGTGAGAGAAATTGTCATTTAGTAATGTGGAGGTAATAATAAGAATTTAGTAGCAGCTTGGCCAAGTGCGAATTTATTGAATCCTCCAATTATACTATAGGGACCACACTATTATATTACATTAAGTGCATCAGCAGCAATAAATGACCAATCTTATAGGTATTAATTTTATACTGTCTATGTTTGTTAAAGTTGTGTCAGTGAATGCAGAGTAAAAAAGTGTTTATTAGTAAGTAATTTTGAGAAAAATGGTAATGAGCCAGAACATGTGATCTAACGGAAAAGAATGTTGAAAAACTTAAATTATTTTGATAAAGGTTTAATGAATAAATATTAAATTTTATAATATTTAATTCTTAGTTGTTCATTTAATAGTTTTAATCAAATTATTATTTAAATTATCATGACGATTCAACTGATAATTTTAGAAATCTGTATTTCCCATCTATTTGAACCATAAAAATTAATTGCATATGGAAACTTTATTATGTTTCAGATACAAGTTTATTAGGAGAATTTTTTTTTGATGCTTTTGTAGGTTTGACTATCATTTGGTGGTTTAAATTATTACAATAATTTTCTTAGCGAGGAGTTAATTTTGAGTTTTTCTCAAAAGGAGTACAAAAATAATTTAGTTTTTAGAATTTCTTCTTATTCTAATATGGTTTAATCTGAAATGATAGAAAGAGTTCAGATAAGAAAAATACTAACAATGGGATTTTTATCATAAATATAATTTATTTATTTANGGAACCTATAATAATCCACGTTTGACATTCAGCCTTTGAATTTGATTCTGAACAAATCAGACAACCAGATGGACATAAAAAAAGGAAAAGTCTGAAATTCCTAAATCCCCATGATTCCTAATTTTAGAATTATTATACATCAAAAGGAATTTAATCTAAAGTACTTGTCAACTCAATGAATGATGTTGTTCCTGTGTGTGGAAATGAAAATTAAATATCAAAGATTGAATCTTTTCGATCATTTCCTGTTTAACCACAAATATAGATTTGTCCTTATGAATAAGAGTAGGCTTAATTATACTCTAAGTTCTCATCTACATAAATTTGAAAATATTCGTTTACATCCCATGTATCAATTCTACTATTAATATATTAGAAGTACATAAATAGAGTGAGAGAAATTGTCATTTAGTAATGTGGAGGTAATAATAAGAATTTAGTAGCAGCTTGGCCAAGTGCGAATTTATTGAATCCTCCAATTATACTATAGGGACCACACTATTATATTACATTAAGTGCATCAGCAGCAATAAATGACCAATCTTATAGGTATTAATTTTATACTGTCTATGTTTGTTAAAGTTGTGTCAGTGAATGCAGAGTAAAAAAGTGTTTATTAGTAAGTAATTTTGAGAAAAATGGTAATGAGCCAGAACATGTGATCTAACGGAAAAGAATGTTGAAAAACTTAAATTATTTTGATAAAGGTTTAATGAATAAATATTAAATTTTATAATATTTAATTCTTAGTTGTTCATTTAATAGTTTTAATCAAATTATTATTTAAATTATCATGACGATTCAACTGATAATTTTAGAAATCTGTATTTCCCATCTATTTGAACCATAAAAATTAATTGCATATGGAAACTTTATTATGTTTCAGATACAAGTTTATTAGGAGAATTTTTTTTTGATGCTTTTGTAGGTTTGACTATCATTTGGTGGTTTAAATTATTACAATAATTTTCTTAGCGAGGAGTTAATTTTGAGTTTTTCTCAAAAGGAGTACAAAAATAATTTAGTTTTTAGAATTTCTTCTTATTCTAATATGGTTTAATCTGAAATGATAGAAAGAGTTCAGATAAGAAAAATACTAACAATGGGATTTTTATCATAAATATAATTTATTTATTTATTAGTGATGATAAAATTTCTATATTAACTAAATAAAAAATATATCAGAAAATAGAAAAAACAAAAATTTCTTAATTTTTAGGTGCCTTAACATTTAGCACAATATGGAAATGCATTTAAAATGAAAAAAGTTTTATCAGAATGAAAAGTAACTTATTAAAAAAAAATCCTTAGAAAGAGCAGTCTTCCAATTTATATAAAATATATAAAGTATTTGATCTAAATTAATTTAAATTTGTTAAATAAAATGATGATTCAAGAATAGTTCTTAAAAAATAAATTCAAATTTGTTTTTTTTGAAGTTTCTTTTTTTTCAAGGATTGGATTTAGGTACAGATAGATTGATGATTCTCATATTTCTATTTCGTAGAAGAATTTCAATAATTTTAAATAAATATAAACTAAGAAATTTATAGATCAAAATTTCTCAATTTCAAAACTCAAGGTAATATATTCTGCCATAAAAAACATTAGAAAACACAATTATTGAAATGAAATAGAACTTTTATATTAGTTCAAAAATTATTATTATAAGACATAATTGTTTTAAGGAAGAAAATAAGAGAAAATGTTTAAAAAGAACTCAGAATCAAATAAGAGATCCCAATTAATTCGCTCTCAAACCATATTTCAATAATATTACAAAAATAATGCTCATTAATCATTGATGGATTTTGATAAAGAATCCTATTTAAAAATATTTTAGGATTAGTGCAAATCATAAAAGATTGAAATATTATATAATTGAAATAGTTTAAATGATTAATCATAAAAATAACCATAAAACAAAATTAAAATAACAGAACTAAATGGAAAGCTTTATGATCCAAAGTATAATCCTTCATTTCTAAGATAAGATGGCAGGTTACAAATTTTCTTGGATTAGATGAAATTTAATTCAATTTGTTAACGTGTTGATATTAAAATAAAATAAACTAAAAAAAATAGTTTATTAAAAATTATAAAGCACAGTAATATGAAAAATTCTTATATTTGTGAATTATTAAAAATTCTGATACATTTATTTGATTAAGTTCCTATTAAATTAATTTATAAATCTTTATTTTAGAATATACAATTATCACCCATTAAGTTATCATTTATTTTTTGTCAAATAAATTATAAATGGTTTGATGATTTACTGTAATAATATAAAATGCACTGATGTTAAAAACAAAAAATTTTTTTTAAATTATCCATTTAATTTTTCAGTATGAACAGCTGACATTAACCCTATTATGTGGTGAGAAAATATCTTTATTGTTAAATATTTGGTTATCATTGCAAATAATTAGAGAATAAATGTATAGCTAATGCGAGGATGTAATTAATCCTGAATCTTAATTTGATTGCTGTTATTTAGTATCCCAAAACTATTTGTATTAACAATTTTAAATGTTTTGAGTATTACAATTTAAGTATTGAAAATTTATTTGAAAGTTATGGTGAAATTAAAATTTTGACTTCTTGACATAAATAAATAAATATCATATGCAAAGATTTAAGTTAAGTTTTAAGAATGCCAAGAGGAACTTATTTAAAAAGTAAAAAGCAATTTTAAATTATGTCTATAATCTAAACTAATTGATATTTTTATCAAAGAAATGAGCCTTTTTTTGATCATAGCGATAATTAAACTTTTTTTTCATATTTTGTAGGAGATGATTTTATAAATTAGATGATATTTTTTAGCAAAACTTTAAGCCCTTTATAAAATAATTATATGAAGAAATCTTGATTGAAACTCTGAGGGTTAAAAAATTATGCCAGTTGTCCTATTGAAAAAATAGGTATTAAATAAAGCAAGACCTAAATCAATCAAATCATTTATTCCTTATGTATATTTTTACAATTGAGTGATTTATTTATACTACATTCTTATAGATTCAATCTAAGGCAAAAAATTTGATTAACAATTTGTTGATTTTACTTCATTAACAATCAAATCCTAATTGTTTCAATATTGTATCTATATCTTAAATTTAATACTTAAGAATTTTTTGATTCATACTATAGAAATTAAATATTATATTTTAAAATAGAGATGGAATAGAATGAACATTTATCTAATTTTTTTGCTTCATTAGAAAATTTTGAAGAATAAATTTACAGGCAGATAATTGTGTTAAAAAATAATAAATTTCAGATTTTTTAAAATATCTATTAGATGATGAAAATCTCAAATGTTGTGAATGTAAATTAAAAAGTAATTAATTTAACATGTTTATTAAGATGAGAAATTAAATGGGGCAAAAATAAAATGAAGATAACGATGAATATTTTGAAATAAGTTAAAGATCATGACTTTAATTAAAAACGATTACTCTACTGATTTCAATTAAGAATCTAGAAAAGATCTAATTTATAAAATAACAAAGATGAAAAATTGTCTAATTGTTAAAATTTTTAGTTCGGCTTACAGAGATAGATAAGTAATTCATATAAGGTGATTCGCACTCACTAGATGGAAAAGTGTAAACCAAAAGAGATTTGGAAAATGTATCTTTCGAAAAAATCAGAATAGAGAATTTAACTTAACTCTAATGCACAAGATATTTTTGACTCATAATATAAACTTAATATAAAAGTAATAGAAATTCAATATTTTTTATATAAAAAGATAATGTAATGCATTTATCATATACAAAATCACCCTTATTTAAATATGTATAGCTCCTCATAAATGCCATGTTATAGGAAACTTTCCTGGGAATGCCTTTAGACTCATGGAGTGGATATCATCAAATTAACTATACAGTTAAAACAATTTCAGGAAAAGGCTCTCAAGAAATTACAAGACTCTATGCTCGATCAGATATCTTTGAAATGGCCAATTAGAGAGTAGCTTTTAAAGCCATGTTCTCTCAAACCCAAAGAGTACTGTAGACTTTTTGGAATGATTTATCAGTCAATCAAATATGATACAATTGATAAGGACAAACTAAATGAATCTTTTGTCATTTAGTACTCTAAAATTAGTGATGTTAACTAAGAAGATCATTTATGCCTTTAGGAATATTTAGATCAGCACTTTAGCAAGAACAATTATTAAAGAAACTTAGAAAATAAAGAATGAATCTCATTAAGAGATATCAGGAAATAAAAAAATAGTTGATTTTCATATGCTTTAGTCCAACTCACAACTCTATATACAAAATTTATTTAATGTGGATCAAATGGACTTAATTTATTAGTGCAGATGAAGGTTGCTCTGACCAGCCAATGCTTTGAAAACATTATGATTATAAATATATCTTTGATAGGCGAAAATTTTGTAAGATGTAATTTAAGCCCATTTGAATTAGAGAAATTAAACATTAAAGGAGTGAATCTTAATGGAGCTCTGTTAAGAATTTATTGGAGTAATTAATCCATTTAAGGTATTTTAAGATAGGACTAATAAAATTCAAAATTCGATAGTGATAGTTGAACTAAATTTTCACAATGCTTCTCTCCAGATGACATTTAGCATCTGATACTAGATAACTCTATATTTCAATTGGATGTTAAGACAAGAAAAACATTCTGAATCTGCATATCTACTATATCCATCTAATTTAGATTTTTATTGTCTTTTGTATTATTGAAGTATTTTGTATATGATTGAAGTTTTATATATATTAAGTTAAGTTAGTCTGCCTTTTTCTTTTGAGTAAATACTTTATTAGCATCAGTTATGATAACTTTATTTAACCATTTATTGGGTGTTAATATCTAAATAGGGACAACTTAATGATTCCTATTCTCTTATCTTATTAAATCAACATTTCATTTTGTTTAGAAAAATTATCTTAACAGCCGCCTATATATGAATAATCCAACCAAGCTTTTGAATCTGCTATATATATTATTGAGATTCAAAAATAACATTTTTTGTAAAAATTTTATAAATTACATTGCAGATGTTTTATATTACTAAATATATATATAATGAAAATTAGCAGATGGTTTTGGATTGCTATATAATATTTATATTAAAAATTAACCAATCCCTTCATGTTATTTATTTAATAGATTTTTCTTATAGTGATTGCATCTATTCTAGTTTCTCAATCCAGATGCTATGAATACCCTATTGATTTGTGCTAGTATTGTTCAGCTCCTTAGGTGACTAAGGGGATTGTGAATATGTGATAAATATGGAATAATTAATTAAATCAATATAATATAATTAAATATTTAAAATAGTCTTTATTTAAGTTTGAAAATGTGGAAATAAATTTACTAAAAAATAATTTATGAAGAGGATTTATGAAATATAAACCAACAAATAATATTAGCAATCTTATTATTCATGGAATCAAATAAATAAGCTCAATATAATCAATAGAGATAAATTTATTATTGGGAATTATTTTTAATAAGAAGACTAAAATGTTAATTTTTTTATAATATATATTATTTTTGTGTTCTAAATAAAAAATTAAAATAATCTAACTTAGAATGTTATGATTCTTAAAAAATAATATAATAATGAAGATTCTGGTTCAGAAAATTAATATTAAATTTGATTAATTTTCCTACTAAGAAAGTTTCAATTATACATCAGTTATCTCAAAATCTGGACAAATATTTAATTTTAGTGAATCCACATATGATATTTTTGGATTATAATAACTATACATCTATAAGAAATCATTAATTTGGAATTGATCAATCTATTAAAATTGATAAAGCAAATATTTAAATAATGAAAAGTATCTTAAAATGGCACATAAAAATTATGTAAAAAAAAAAATGTAACTCAATTTCTACCTAAATGCTCACTAGCCCAGAGGTTCCACAAATTTTTCATATATTACATCATTGGTTGGAATTCTTTGGATTCCAATGTGAGTAATATAAAAAGATACTAACCTATTACCACTGGCTAAGGCCAAGGTACTCTCGTACGAAGATTGGCTGGAAGTAAGACTAAAAAACCTCATGTCGAGGCTAGATTTACCTAGGGTTCGAGAGAGTAATATCTTAGGAAGTGGTAAACCACAAATATTCAAATACTTTTACATTCTTAATTTGTTGAAAATAATTAAAATATTATATTGCATATTCTTTCAAATACATTTTTTTTTCAATTGAATTGTTATTTATCAAAATCATATTGTCCTTTAGATTTACCTTCTTCTGTATAATTCTTATACATTATATCTTCACAGCCAACCTAAATTTTGGACCAGAATTGTTCGCATATATATTAAATATAGATGATACTTTATTACAAAATGTTAGAATGCATTCACTTCTAATGCAATTTTGATGATCTTAATTTTAATAAGTTATTTAATAAATTTGATTACTATTTATCAAAAATAAAAAGTAAACCCTTAAATCTTACATGAATCTTTAACACAAATAATAACAATAATTGCTTTTGAACACGATTCTTTTTTGTTGCAATCTTCATCTTTTTTGAATAAGTATTTTTTAGTCAGATATTTCTTAAAATTTTCATTGTTTATGATAGTGTTTATGTTGGAAAATTCAAGTGTGTCTTTTCTTAACAACCTAATCCATGTATTTTCAAATTATAGCTTCCATGTGCATTCTTTACCTTCTACACTACCAATTAACCAATATTCAACTACAATGCTACTTAAAATAAGGGCAGATCAAGTAAAATTTTTCCAACCCCATCTGAGACTTTTAATACATTAATTAATAAAAAGAATATGCATATGCAAGAATTAATTGAAAATAATATTTTAATTATTTTCATTCTTCGAAAAAATTTTTATAATATGTCAATTTATCATTTTTTATTATCTCATATTACAATATTTGATTAATAACAATATTAAATTTTAATTATTAATAAAAAATAAAGAAAAATGGTATAATTTGATGATGAATAATTGAAAATCTAATATTTGTATCATCTTCATTATCATCAATCATTCTATAAAAAACTGAAACTATTATCGCTGTAATCTTAATTCTATATCATATGGCAACAACAAGTAGAACAACACAATCCAATAATTAAGAATGAAGAGCCTAATATAATTAACCAATCTAATTCTGTTAAATTTCCAATTATTATCATTCCTATTGAAGTTAAAATTGTAATAATCACTATTAAAGATTTAATCAAACAACAACAGGTTTCTCTCACATTTTTATTGCAAAATTTACAATACTCAATTTGTTGGATAATTATTGGAGGAGGATCTCCCAAACGAAAAATAGGATTTCTTTCTTAAATATTTACGTTGTTCATTCTTAAAAGAGAGTTTAAATTTTATTTTATTTAATATTTAAGATTTAATAATATTTTGAGCTATGCATAAAGTGAATCTTCTGATATAATTTGTATAGAACTCATAAACATTTAGCTAATAATATTTAATTATTTCAATTTTATAACTTGTAGTTTTCTTCCTAAATAATATATAAAGTAAGTAAAACAGTAATAAATTTGCTCGACTCTGATCAGGTAATAGGCTTAAATACAAAAATTTTAATATTAAAATGCATGATTCACCTTTCTTTTAGATTTTGTTGTTAATTTATTCATATTACAGAAGATTATTATTTTTTTTAATTTAAGTATAATTTCTATCTATTTAAAAGATTTGTGATCGTGTTTCTCTCAAATTCAATTTTTTTTAATTTCAATAAAAAAAAGTATTCGATTGTCGAAAATTTAAACTTAATCGATTTGGTAGTAGGTAAATAACATAAGTTAGAAATTCAAAAAATAGAGAAAGAAGATTGAAATGAGCAAAAATTAATTAAAGTTTATTTACTAAAAAGAGTTAATCATAAATACCATATAAAACCCCTAAATCTTATCCTTTTTCCAATAAATAATAGAAAGTGTCAGTTTAATCTAAGAAGACTCTGATGATGATATAAAAACTGAAGATTTAGTTAATCAGAGGTGACAATAAGTTAAATGAGGTTAGATGTAAACTATGATCAAAAATTAATAAAATGATGGGACTGGATTTGATAATGAATTCTTTGATTTTTCAATAAAAAGTTTATTTTGGAATAAATAGATGAAATCCTTAATATTCATATGGTTGCTATCAAACTATTATTATCTATTGTATATTTTTAGGCTAATGTTAAATTATTACAATAAGAAATGAATTAATTTATTCAATATAAGAAGTTGGAATTTTAGATTATAATGTAGATACTTATTTTGATAAAAAGAAAACAAAAGAAAAAAAAACTAAAAATTTAGAATTTGTTGAATAAAGCTTTTAGTTTTTAAGTAATTTTTTAATGGTATTCACTTTTAAAAGAACAAGGTATACATTCTATTAAATAGTTTATATATAATAATTAATCGATAGCTATCTATTTTCCTTAATTATTTTATTATATAATATTTTGATTTCCTTTGATATTTAAGAAAATTTCAATTTTGATA